GAGAACATCACAGCATTGCCCAATGTGACTGAGTCAGAACAAACCCTGAAAAATATAAAATTTCGTGTAATATGTATAACTGAAACCATATTGCCAACCGAGGGGACTACTACAAAAATGCCAGAGGAATACTCACCAATTGATTCTCCTAATTATACTTCCCATGCTGCTTTTAAGAACAATGCTGTTGTCTTTGGAGGTAAAGGCTGTTTATGGTAACTATTTAATCAGAAGGACTACTTATGCAGATGTTAGTAGCAAAACTACTGTTATTTTTGTTTGCTACTCCAGCATCCACAGAATATGAGTGTTAGGGTTTTGCAAAAGCAAAGCTTATAAGACAGAGGATCTTTAAATAATTTTAAAGTAGAAGTAAGATCTTGTCTTAAACTTTTCATTAATATTTTAATATGAAATGGTGGAAGCTTATTCTGCTTAATGGGATTTGGGATGAATACACTTCTGAGAAATGCATTAGCAAACAGCCTGTGCTCAGAGTAATAAGGGAAAACTCAGGAGGCTCATAAAAAACAGAAAAAGCCAAGAAAGTTGCTGTTCTCCAAATATGGAGGTGTTCTTGAGATACGAGCTGTGAATAAGTAATTCTACTATACAATCACTGAGAAATGGACTAAATATGAGGAAAAGCGTTACAACTGTAAGGACAGTTAATCAGAAAAATGTGGTGTCTGGGCAAGTTGTAAAAACCCTCCAACGAGCAAGTTAGACAAACATCTGTCAGGGTTTACCTAAATACCTGGTTTTAGCCTTTTGAAGAAAATGAGCTGTAGCATAACTAACCTTGTGAGATTCCTAATGCCTCTATTGTTGAGTTGATGTTTATGTACTTCTTACTCTAGACTGTTTTTAGAAGAATCTGGGTTTGTACTCATGAGCCTTTAGAAAGTCAGAATTAAGTACATATAAAAACTCTGTGCTTATCCCACTTTTATCTCCAGGCATCCCTACTGCACTTCTTGTACTGGCAGTCATCTTCTTCATTATCTCAGTTGTTCTAGCAGTCTGCTATATCAAAAAGTAAGTACTTTTATTTTTTTTTTTTCTCTTGGACTGACTTAACTCCTAGAGTACAACCAGTGAATATTTTAAATATATAGCTAAAGAGCAGAGAATTAATGGTAATAACAGTTTAGCACAAAGAACAAAATCTTAAACCCTGCTGTTATGCAGATACAGTTTATTGTTGCTGTTGCCATTCCCTGCCTTAGGAAAGGAACTAAAGACAAATATTGCCTATTCTTGATTAGTAATTCATACCTAGTGTGAAACATTTCCAAGTATGCCAAATAAAAACACTGAAGTGTCCATCTGTTCGTTTATGCAGTTTTCTTCTTGTTTCTTTCTTTGTCAGACTCAAGGTAAAAGTTTTTATTCTTGGACTATGATTGTGTCCAGAAAAAAAAATAAATAGAGCTCGTTTATCAAGTGGAAAGATTTTCAACACAGTGCATCACTAAATCGTATCAGAAAGCTGTGTGCATTTCTCACATCCCAGCCCAGATAGCTTTATTGTTACGTACCAAGAATCCTGAATACACATTGTCTGTTTAAAAAAAAAAATACAAAAATATTGCTTTAAAAGCACACTGCTTGAGAAAGCACAATGATCTAGCATCCCACTATTTTCTGTGAGACTTTTGCTCCAGTATGGCAAAGAAAGTTAATTCTAGGTATTTTTCACTTTATTTCTTGAGTGATACTATCAAGCTATGCAAGTGTTTCTGCTTTACTATCCTTTTTTTCTACTCAAAGGTACAAAAAAAACTTCCCATTTTCAAACAAGAATCAGCAAAAAGAAATGGTTGAAACAACTGCTCTTAAAGAGGCTAAGTCAAATGACAAAGCTGCTGAGAAGGAAACAAAGAATGGTAAAAATACAGAAGAGTCTAAAACCAAGCCTGAGGCCACTGTACAATGTCTAGAAGCAGAAGTTTAAGTGGAAGAATGTACATTGCTTGACAGAAATACAAAATGAAGTGCACTGAACTTCACAGTGCTTTTCAATGTGGGTGATTGTAAATACTGATGAATATTTTCTCTATCTTAACATATGAAAACCTGTTTTTTTTTTATAATTACATCTTTAGTTATAAATACTGTTGCAGAAGAATACGGGATATTATTTACTTGAAATAAAATATCCATGATGCAGCTCATTTTTCATCTTTAATAAGTAGTTAGGAATATGATATTAATGACATGCAGTGTGTTAACTATTTGCACAGAATTCACTTCAATATGTAATGAAAAGCATTTTTTCTGCCTGGCTGGAAGATCTCTGCTAACTTAATGTTGATATCTTATTCCCATTCAGTAGCTGCTTATCTTTTTTAAAAAGTCTGTTTACAAACAGAAGAAATAAGTCTGTTTACAAGTGAGTAAAAATATCAAACAACCCACCTACTGTCATGCAGATACCTAAGGAAGGGTACAAAGATGCCAATGTCTATATATATAGAGCACTGTATAACTTTCTTGGGTACCTTTGTCATACCATAATTCAATGTTTTATTTATTAAAACCTGTATCATTCTTCTGCATCAGATATTTGATGGGGGGAACATTAACTGTATCTCAACAGTCATATTTAAGATCTTTTATGTAGATTTAAGTGGGGATTTCATAATAAAGATCTCCAGTTGTATGGGACATTTACAGTACTTGGTAAAAATAAAGTACAGTAGATATGTTTGTCTGAAAAGTTTATTCTTATTAAAACTGTCTCACAGTAAAAAGAGCTCAGATAACCTTAATGTTACAGAAAAAAATTAGTTGTTATAAAAGAACAATACTAGCAATTTTTCAAATATTTTTTGAATAAATGGTTTGGATAATTTATTTTTGTATGTGAAGAAGGTTATTATGTGAAAGAAAGTTTCTTTTTAGATCCAGCAGCCTGAAAAACATAGTCTTAAAAAAAATAGTAATAGAACTGCTCACCTATATTGTGTTTTCTATACTGGGTTAGGAACTATTTTTTATTCAGAGAAATTTAGAAATTGGCCGGTGGTTATATATTCCACTAGCTACTAGACAGTGAGTTATACTGTACTGTTAATAGCAGAGCTTTCTTTTTCTCTTTTTTTTTTTTTTTTTTTTGATAGCTAGGAAATATTTCATGGCTCCAAGACTCTGGCCTGTGTTGATACACAGTCTACCACTACCATGACTGGGTCGGAACAATCCCAGACACAGATACAGGCTGGGCAGGGAAGAGATTCAGAGCAGCCCTGCAGAGAAGGACTTGAGGGTGCTGGTCAATGAGAAAATGAACATGAGCCAGCTGCAGTGTGCGCTCACAGCCCAGAAAGCCAACTGTATCCTGGGCTGCATCAACAGGACTGTGACCAGCAGGTCGAAGGAGGTGATCCTGCCCCTTTATTCTGCTCTCGTGAGACCTCACTTGGAGTATTGTGTGCAGTTCTGGTGTCCTCAACATAAAAAGGACATGGAACTGTTGGAACAAGTCCAGAGGAGGGCCATGAGGATGATTAGGGGACTGGAGCACCTCCCGTATGAAGATAGGCTGAGAAAGTTGGGGCTGTTCAGCCTGGAGAAGAGAAGGCTGCGTGGAGACCTCATAGCAGCCTTCCAGTATCTGAAGAGGGCCTACAGGGATGCTGGGGAGGGACTCTTCATTAGGGACTGTAGTGATGGGACAAGGGGTAATGGGTTAAAACTTAAACAGGAGAAGTTTAGATTGGATAAAAGGAGGAAATTCTTTCCTGTTAGGTTGGTGAGGCACTGGAATAGGTTGCCCAGGGAAGTTGTGAATGCTCCATCCCTGGTGGTGTTCAAGGCCAGGCTGGATGAGGCCTTGGGTGATATGGTTTAGAGTGAGGTGTCCCTGCCCATGGCAGGAGGGTTGGAATTTAATGATCTTAAGGTCCTTTCCAACCCTAACTACTCTATGATTCTATGATTCTAAAGCCATAACACTACAGAAGGACTGAGTCAGTACAGGCCTAAGAGATGCTAATTTCAGATGTCCATCAACAGAATTTCAGCAGGACGATGTGCGACAGAGGAAAGCACTAGATATAGCTTTCCCACACAGTTAGTAATGCCTCTCCTTGCAAAATACTGCAGTAATGTCATGTATCTCTCTTGGCAACCTGAATGAAAGTGCTGTGTGCCGTATGGGCAGTGAAAAGTAGACAGCAGGAATAAGGCCACCACAAAGGGCCATAGCCAACACTTGATATGATGGTGTTCTTACGCAAATGGGCTTAAGGTTACAGGCAGCACTACTGGATTCCAGGTAATTTTGAACTTGTCTGTGAGAATTTCCCTGCTGACTCTTTTTCATGTTTTAGACATTAGACATTACCTATTTATTCTTTCCCTTTCCACCAAGAGAAAATTATCTATCACTTCCCTTGATTGATACTGCTAGTATTACCCCTGATCCAGGTAGAATCCTGAAGGTATGAACTTCCTTTTCTCTCATATTGTCTATTCATGCCTAAAGGAATTAGAAAATTTTTCTCTAGTTCCACTCCAGCTGGAAGTTTGTTGCTTCTATTTTAGATCCAAATAAGGTGTTTCCCTCCCCCCCCCCACAGTATTTGCTTTCTAAAAGAATCTATGTATGTTAGCTAATATAATAGGATATTGCCTTAACCTGTAAATGTCTTGTTTTATCACGTACCTTAAAAACTCAGCTAGCTTCATCCTAACCTTCACACTTCCAGCTGGCCAGTACACACAGTTTGATCTCCCCCTCCTTTCTAATACACAATTTATGCCAACACTACAAAGGCTAAAAGGAACCTGTTACACTGTTCTGTAAGTAGTAAAAGGCATCTGTAAGGACTAATCAACCAGTACCGCATTTGATATTCTCTGCATATAATTAGTACTACTCAGTCACGTTCGCAGTAGAGTACAAAACGTTCTTGCTTAGCATTTAATAAAATTGCAAGAGATGTACCACTACAAAGCAAACAGGAAACATTTATTTAAGTCCTAGACAGAAAGTGACAAAACTCCCAAACCATTAACCAGTAGTAGCAGAAAATTAATGAAGGATTTCTCTTAAGTCTCTGACTTCTGTCAAGTGTCGTGCTTTTTTTACAAGATGTTCTCAACAGCTATGAGGTTCACTGATGTCTCAGAAATGGCACTGTGCTTAAGTGTCTTGGACAAGTAATTCATTCCCCTAGGAGGACATCAGTTTGCATTAGTCATTTGACAGTAACACTACCCAGATTCCCACACTGAGGTTACAGATGTTTGCTGACCTTAGGCGAAAGGGCTGGTTGGCCTGCAGGAAATACAGTGAGGTTCCCAGTCCAACCCAGTCCGTGTCTGGAATACAGGGTTGCCTTTGTCATGGGAAGTGCGTTTGTCTGTGTGCGAACAGACGTGGGCAGGAAGGGGAAGTACTACTCCTTTTCTGCTCTTTAAATTCAAAAAATAACAAAAATGAAAACAAACCTCTAGAATTAAACCCTCAAGCATCAGGACACAGCTGACCTAGAGGATGTTCTAGGATTTCTGTTCTTAAACAGATTATTATAATTTATGGGTGTTGGGTTACTTTGCCAAAAGGTCAGTGACCACTGACCTTTGCCACACACATCTAGCTCTCACATCCTTCACGTTGATGGGTGCTCTCTTCCTCACCCGTTACAGCAGGGAGTAGTAGTAGTTACAGTAGTAGCAGTTGCTGGCCTGTGGTGATCCCAGCACGGTAGGCACTCGGACCCCAAGAAGTATCATTTAAGCTGCTATTTATTAAAGCTAATAGAAAAGAGTGGATAGTACAGGCAGTCTTACGTCCCTTCAGAAGCTGGGAAAGCTGAGCTGCCCAGTAGTGCAAAGCAACCTTCTGAGGACACAGTATGGCCCGTTTGCAGTAAAGTTACTCCGTGTTGATTATTAAAGCAATTATAGGACTTTTCTTACAACAAAGCAGCTCTATACAACATCCTTACTGCACAACGGAAAGCATGCTCGGGCGGGCTCTGCTCCGCTCAACCACAGCGGGACCGCCGGCTCCCATGTGTATAATGCTCTTCCAGCCCGATTCGCGCCGAGGAAGGCTGGCACGGACCCGCCAATACCGCCTCACCTCTCCTTTTCTTTTTCCCTTTCCCTTTCCCTTTCCCTTTCCCTTTCCCTTTCCCTTTCCCTTTCCTTTCTTTTCTTTCCCTTCCTCTTTTTTCTTTCCCTTTCCTTTTATCTTTTCCTCTCCCTCTCTTCTCTCTCCTCCTTCCTTATCTCCTCCCCGCCTACAGCTGCCGGGGATCCCTCCGGGGGAGGGGGGGGGGGCGGGGGGGCGGGGGTCCCCCTTGGGCCCTCGCCCCCACGGCGGCGTCGGCTACGTCCAGGCAACTGCGCGAGCCGCGCGCTGGCGTCACCGCCCGGCGCCAGCAGCAGCAGTCGCCGCCGCTGCTGTCCCTTGCGCCTGCGCTGGGAGCCGACGGCCGGGTCGCGGTGGGGCGGCGGCGGCGAGCAGGATGTCGCGGCGCTGGGGTGAGGTTTGCCGGCTGGGCCCTCTTCGTCCGCAGTCACGGAGCCCTGGGGGAAGCGGGAGGCTCGGGCGGGGCGAAGCCGCTGGGCGCTTTTTGTCCTGAGCAAAGTCCGGCCGCCCACCTCAGCCGGGCCTCGCTGCGCGTCCGTCGGAGCGCGAAGGGTCGGTTAGGGGTTACCGTAGGAAATGGTGGGGGGTCCCGGCTGCGGAGGTGACGCAGGCGGGCTTGTGCGTGCGGCCCGTCTCGAGCGCGGCCTTTGGATGCGGTTAAACTCTGACGCGAAGACAGGTGCAGTGCCCTGGCCGTTGGGAGCGGTCGGCAGCACCCATACGTTCGTCCCCTCCTTTCGGAGAGGCCTGATGGTACATCCGGTTTATCTGTGTATAGCTTTGGGTATTGCTGATCTTGAGGGCTGCACCAAAGGAAACACTTTGTAAGCATCTTTGCAGAGGTTTTTTTGTCCAGACTTTTCTGTGGTAGGGTCTCACTGGTTCAGTAGGCTCACACACAGCGCTTCACTTCCACAGGAAGGTGGCTTTTCAGGCACAGAAACCAGAAGATAAGGAATGAACTGTGTTCGAAGCATCAAAGGTTATGCTGCGGAGAGGCTGTGAGTGAAGTGTATCGTTTGGGTGTATGCTCAGCAAACACAAGGCCCAGACAGGGGAGAGGAGGTTATTGGAGGGCTGTTTGGAAGGAAAAATGTCACTTGAGTGGGAACACAGGTGTCTGAGAACAGAATTTGGTCAAAATTCCAGATTAAATTGGAAGTTTATTCTTTTGTGTGAAATACCAGAACAGTTTGTAGAATGTTCTGATAAAAACCCACTTCATGTGTGCTCTGTTTTTCTTACACCAGGGCAAGATCTTCATAGCTGTAGACTGTTCCTGGACAGTTTGATGCCCAAATGCAGTTACATATGCAGGGTGAAGATCTGTTTTTCTTTAATGTCTCTCTCATAAAGTGTTTGTAAGGTGCCTAATGTCAGATACTCAGTGTTTAATTTAAGGCTGATATTCTGTAATTAGCTTGCTATTGCAGACCTCTGTCTGTAAAAGTCTTAAAATAGTGTGAAAGTACTGGATTGGTTTGCATTACAAACTATGAACTCTGTACAAACAGAATTAATTTGCATGCCTCTGCCAGTTTGAGACAAAGAGCCAGGAGGAATTTTGAAGAAATGCCAAATGAGAGGGCTCAAGGGGAAAATATGGATAAAGACTCAGAATCAGAAGACATACAGTAGATCCTTATACAGACTTCTTGGGGAAGAAGATACAAGTGTAAGGGAAGGTTAAAATAAGTTGGAGAGGTTTGAGCAAGTCAGTTCTGTAATACATCCTGAATTTGAGTGGTTTGTGCAGATAGGGAGGTTTCTAAATTGATTTATACTGATGCCATTCATTGGCTTACCAGTTTAAGAATGCTGTGAGAGTTATTTTGATCTGCCAGTGTCAGTCTGATGTAAGAAAGCTAATTCCTGATTTAATGTCTGTGTATAAACATTGATATGCTTATTTATAGACATTCTGACTTTCACATGCACAAATATTTAGGACAAACAAAAATTGTCACAAATTATCACTGTAATATTAAAATTTTATTTTCCATTCCACTGGATTTACATATCTATATGTGTGTTGGAGCTGCTGCAGAACCTGCATGAAAAATTATGTCACTTTAATATAAGTATTGCTGTAATCAAAATAGTACTTTTTTGTAAGCTGTTAATACCACATTCCAGTCTCTTCTATATGTTCTACTTTGACTGTTCAAGTTGTGTTACTGTAGAATAATTAGACTGTAATGGGTAGTTAAATTCTTACACTAAAAGAAAATGAGAGAGTAACCATTTGTAAAGCACACGATTGTAACCCTAAAATATTTTTAGCAGAAACTCTACAAGTGAATGAGAACTTCATTCTACGGAACTGAGGTGAAGAACTTCAACCATGGGTCAACAAATTTCAAACCACACACAAACTGTAATTAACAAGTTACCAGAAAAAGTAGCAAAGCATGCCTCTTTGGTTCAAGAAAGTGGTTTCCTAACCTATGAAGAGTTTCTGGGAAGAGTAGCTGAGCTTAATGATATGTAAGCCCTACTTTGTTTTCTTGGTGTTTTTAGTGTTTTACAGAGACCTTGTATGCAATATATCCCTCCATGCTGGCTAAGTCAGGACTGGCCATCTTGTTTTGAAATGTCTCCTGCAGCTTTTAAAGTTTCTGTACTGGTTGTAATTGGACTTCAAAACTAAAGCCGTTTTTCCTTCAGAAATTTACTTTTTCTCCAATACTCTTCTTCCAGCAAGTGTTGCTTCTCTCTTAGATCGCAAGAGGTAGACATTTAGCAATATCTTTCTGTTAGTGTTGCTTGTATCCCCTAATCTCCCCCCTCCACCAGCCATGTAAAGATGCAATGCTGCTTCCACTCTGCCCATCACTTTTCATACGAAGTAGCAATATGAGCCTTTTAAAGACAGTACAGCTACACTAGGAAGGTAAAACTGAGACAAAACCATTTGTGACCATCTTTTTCACCTCTGTGGACAGGCAGTGCTGTTCCTCATTAAAGATGTGGCATGTCTTACTATCTGAATCCAGTGACCAAGATAATCCCAAGCAAAAGGCTGCATAAGAAATATTTTTCAGTGTGAATTTTGTTTGACTCCACATTGATGGTAAAAATAAATGAACAAAAATGCAGAGTTGTCATTTTTACCCAGTATTTTTAGTATAAAATTATAGGAAGTGGAGATATACATGCTGATAAAGAGCTTTGTAGTGTGGGGGTTTCAGTCATGTTTGACAGTTAACTATAATGTGAATTTGTATTCAGTTTAGAAATTATCTTGTAGACGGTCATACTTTTATGAATGACCTTCAAGAACAGACGGGTGTCTTCATCAATAGATTTTGAAGGACATTACTTTATGTTTTGCCTGAGAATCTTAAGAATATATCAGTCTGACTAACTCCAAAATAACATTGTTATTCAAGGGTTTTTCTTATTTCTTCCAGTGCTTACTTCAGCCTGAATGTAGCATAGTTTGATCTCCTTCTTGTGGAATAGACTTCTGTGTCTCTGTTCCATTAAAAAAAAAATACAGTCCCCCAAAAATTTCAGGGTCACCCGAAGCTTTCACTTGACTGCTTCATTGTTAATATATACTAACAAAAATACACCTCATCTGCATCTGTTGATACTTGCAAGCTTTTTTTTTTTTTTACATACATGGTAAGGAAATAACCTTTTTAGATTGGACCACAAGATTGTATGATTACTATAATAAACAGTGAAAGCATATAAAATATCTATAAAGGATATTTGCTGATGCTGGATCAAAAGACTTGCACATCATTTTCTGAAATTTGCTGTGCTATTGAAAGTGAAATGGACCGTATTTTATATTTAATGACATGCTAAGAAGGTCATTAATTTCATGTCTCTGGGAAATACTGATAAAAATCTCTTTAACAATAACACATAGGTGAACAATAAATAATACCACAGTAGCTAAGGCTGCTGATCTTTGCATGTCTAGCATGTGGTATAAACTAGATGATTCTTTATTTCAGTACTGCAAAATTGGCTTCTGGACAAGACAAACATCTGTTATTTGAAGTGCAGCCTGGTTCTGATTCATCTGCTTTCTGGAAGGTGGTCGTTCGGATAATATGCACTAAAGTAAGATTGTTGAAAATTTTAATTTGGTGGGGGGGGTTCTTACAAATATTTGAGGATTTTCACCTTTACTGATAAAATCTAACACCTGCTACATACATTTTTAATGTTAGATATTATATAAATTGAGTATATATAGATGATTCTGTGTATCTGTAAATTGAGTATATGCAGATGATTCAAGGATA